CCTTTAGGAAAAGTCTTTCCATGTCTTTGCCCCATTTTGTGAGTTCTGAATTATTTGACAAAAAGATTCCCCTCGTGAACAGACTCGGTCCTTTGGGTCTTGAGAGGTTAAGATTAGGAGGGCTTCCCAGAGGAGTTGACTCCTTGAGTTTACCAGCTAGCCAAGGAGAAGAGCATTTCAAGCAAGGGCTAGCAGATGAGAGGACAATAGATGTGTGATGGTGGCTTTTTAAGAGGCTTGCCAGTATAAAAATAAGGTTTTAATGAAGAGGGAGATGTGGAAGAGGATTTCAGATGTTTCACTCTTCTTAAAGGAAATAGTGATGGCCTTTATTAATTTATTTAATTTATTAATTTTTCCAATGAAGTTAATCTTCACAATATCCCATACAGACCAACTTAACTTGGTTGCCATTGAACCAACCAACTCATATAGCTGACCCTCCAGTGGTTTTTCAGAATTGCACAGAAGATTGACCATCTTCCTCCCAAGGACCACCAGCTAGTGGATTTGAACCACTTAACTTTCCTTTGGGCTGGCAGTGTGTAACTCTATTGATTCTGCCAATGTAGGCACGGTCCAAGTCCTGATAGTAAAGGGAGGGAGAGAAATTCACAAATGAGGAAAGTGGAATAAAATAGTGCAATGACAAATAGGGGCAAGTTTGAGAGCTGAGAATCTGCATTGGGTTTGGCAGTTGGATCACAGATGGTTTAACAAGTACAATTTTCATTGATAGATGTGTACACACACATTAAGATGTTAGTAAGAAGATGTGTTGGTTAAGTGCCATCAGGTCAAATGTGACAGGGTTAGCCTGCAAACGACATAGCAGAAACTTGTCCTGCACTGTGCTGTCCTCTCAGTACTGGGAGTCACCTGAAATTGAACTCTGGCTGTGCCACTTCTGTGTTAATGCTGGGTGCTAAACAAACCAAGAACGCCCTTGTTTTCCTGCCAAAGTGCCTGTTCCACAAAGGTGCTGTGAGGAGTGAGGTCAATGTGTAATGTTGGGGACAGGGTAGCTAAGATAGTCTATAAATGGAGGGGCTTTTCGTTCACTTGATTTTTTTTTTAAACTATTTGTGGTGACATGGGTGAATGTTTACAGGGCAAATTGATTTTCCATCAGTTCACACTCCGTGAAGAATAATCCAACCTCTCATTTAACAGCACTCGTAAGACACTCCTTGTGTCTGGTCTGTTCCAGCCCTACTCCTTTCTGAGCTTTGTCTCTGGGCAGATGCTGCTTTTGTTGTAAGAGGAAGTGTGAACTTCCCTGTCACTTGAGCTATGGAGCTAATTGTTTCAGGTTTTAGAAAGTACCTAAGGCTTGTACAGAGCTGCGGTAACTCAATGGTAATGATTTCCACTGCCAACCCAAAGGCACATGGTTCAAATTCACCAGCAGCTCCGTGGGAGAGGATGGGTAATCTCCTGTGTAATGAAATTGCTTCTGAAACCCCACTGGAGGGAGGCTCAGCTATGAGTTGGTTCTGGCTTTATAGTACACAACAGAAAGGGCAGTAGGGAGCACTGGTGCCTAGTGGTTAAGGAGTTGCACTGCCAGCACAAAGGCTGAATTAATTGCCTCTGAGCTGTAGGTTGGTTCCAACTGGCTGGTACATTACAACCTCGTGGGTTCTACCAGTCACTATTAGACCACTTGTCAGGTGTCATTGAGTCAACTATGAACCACAGGCCTGAACTTTGCCCTGTTCTGCACAATCCTGCCTAGTTCATTATGTAGAAGCCAGTTGTCACTTATGTCAATCCATCTTGTAGGGTTTTTTTTTAAAAGTGGTTTTTGTACAATCATACACGTTGTGCTTTATACAATCATATAACTTGTGTTTTATGTAATTACTACTTTTCTCCTCCCTCCCCTTCCTTTCTAACCTTTATACCCCTTCTACCCTTCTTATGAATAGTTCTATATAGTTATATATGAATAGTTATATCCTGTTCCTCTCGTCGGCTCCACATTCAACAGTTGGCACCAGCAGTCAGGAAATCAAAAGACACGTTTCACTGGGAATGTCTGCTGTCAGGGACCTCTCCAGAGTGGTGAGGAGCAATAATGTCAGTCTGGAGACGAAGGTGCACCGGATCCAGGCCATGATCTTCGCGTTTACATGCTATGTAACAGAAAGCTGGATAATGACAAAGGATGACAGAGGAAGAATTGATGCCTTTGAGTGGTGGTGCTGGGAAAGAGTATAGAACAAATAGGTCTGTCTTGGAGAGGGTGAAACCCAAGTTTCATTTTGGAGGCAAGCATTTTGCAGCTCCATTTACATCCTTAGGGCACATGGCCAGGAGGGACTGTCCTTGGAGGAGAAGGATATCATGCTTGGAAGGGTGGAGGGACAGCACAGGAGAGGAAGATCCCAGATGAGATGGATTGACACAGTAAATGGGACAATGGGATTAGGTGTGTTAAGAGTCAACAAGACTGGCTCACCGTGAGTCGCAGGCAACTTGATGGCACATAACAAGACTTCCTAATAGCCAAACTGTCTTCTAGTCAATTCTTGGAATAGCCATACTCTCTACTAGTCAATTCTTCCCAGGTGTGATCCTCTTGACTTTCTGAATCTTTAGTGTTCATTGACTATAAAGTCTCTATCTACACTCTGGTCCCCCCTATTTTCACAGTAATCTTGGATTATTAATCTATCTTTTACAGGGTCTTTCCCTGTTTCTCTGATCCTCTCCCATTTCCAGCATGTTATCTTTATCCAAGGACTGGTCCCTCCTGATAATCAGTTTCATTCAGCAAAGAGCCAGACAGCTCATCCACTTTTGAAATGACAGGACTTCAAAAACCCTATCAATCAGTAAACTTGGCCTTTTTTTTTTTTTAAATTATTTTGAATTCCACATTTTCCTCCCACTTATTCCAGGACCCTGAATTGTAGATCCCTTCAGAGTGGTAGGCACTATCTATTAGATCTCAGTTGGAGGCCTGGAAGGCTGACGGCCACTGGTCCATTCATTCTTTGGTTTCCTTTTTCCTCCCACCAACCCCCGAACTGGGGAGTAGAGACCAATGGTTAGACCTTAAATGGCCATCTCAACATTTCCAAGACCCCAGTTGCTACTCCCCACAGTGGTCCTCTTTGTAGACTAGGTTATGCTAATTGGCTTTTATGACTCCCCCCCACCATCCAAACCCTCCCCCAAATAAAGTTTGATGCCCCAGGAAGAGTCATACGGGAAGGGTTTGTTTTTGTGTTGTGTTTTTTTTCATTCCAACTTTTATTAAAAATAAATTGGCTCTAATCAACTCAGGCCTCATTTTTGCAAAGCTATCTGATCATGTTTCCAAAGAATCTTATCCAAACCTTGGACGTTTATTTTTGCTATGGTTGAAACGAAGGGTTTGTTTTTACAGTGTTAGTTGGCTGAAAAGAGGTTCCTGCTTTAAACAGTTCATGCCACTCCTTAAAATGAGAGACAAGAAAAATGACATTTCAAAATTTCCATTTACATGGCTCTTAAATACAGTCTTGGAAAGTGGATGCTACTTAGATTTTTTTTCTTTACCCTTAAAAGTCTATTATTATGCTCTGAGCACAATGACCAGAGGTGGGGTATGATGCGAGCAGTACCTGGATGCCCAGGCGTCCTGTTGAGTCGCAAGCCCCGCCCCGCCCTCTGTCCCATCCAATCCCCTCTAAGCTTATCCCGCAGATGCAAGATTGTCTCGCGCGATTTCCAAGGATTGTCTCGCGCGACTTACTGTGCGTGAAGGTCCTCATCCCCTCGTGCGTACAGCGTCTCTTGCGCTGTCCTCGGTCTCCTAGCAACCAGCCAGCTCCTCCGCCCAGGATATGAGGGGCTGTGATGGACCAGTTAGCCGCTGCTGTAAGGGACAATCTGGGTCACAGCCTCCCCTCGCCCCTGCCCGGCCCTTCCCCCACTCCCTGCAGCCCTAACCCTGCGCTGCTTCTGCCTTTTCCCTCCCCTTCTCTGCGGGCCTCTTTTCCTGGCCTTTATTTTAATCTCTCTTCCCGATGTATTTTCTCTTCCATCATCTGTCCCTTTCTGGGTCACTCTGATGCTTTACTCCATAGCGAGTTGCGCTCCTGACCCAAAGGTGGTGCCTCTCTGGAGTTCGAATCCACCAGCTGCTCGCAGGAGAAAGACGGGCAGTCTCCTCCCGTGTGATTTACAGCCTCTGAAAACCCATTAGAGGGTCAGCTGGACTTGATGGCGATGAGTCGAAGTTGCCTTAGTGTTTGAGACGCATTTAATAGTAATTTTAAAAGCATTCTAAAGGATAGAATGTGATATCATAATGATTTTATCTGCCTACACAAAGGCACGAAGTTCAAATCCACCAGGAGCGCATGGGCAATCTCCTGTGCGATTTACAACCTCTAAAGACCCACTAGAGGGTCAGCAATGGGTCAGTTCCAGTTAGATGGTACATAATAACAGCATTAAGGAGGACACATTCTCACTTTTTTAAAAAAAAATTATTATTTTTTGTGCATGTACCGTCAAATTGGACCTGACTGGTACAGGAGGAGACTGCCCCTCCTTCTCCAGCACAGCATCTGGTGGACTCAAACCATGTACCTTGGGGATTGTAGTGCAGCTTCTTGCCACTAGGCCACCAGAGAGCTCCCTACATTCTCACTTTTAAGAAGTATTCAAGCTGTGCAGTTTCCTAGGCTCATTTTTCCGGCAGTCTATTTCATTTTTCACCAATACCATCAATTTTTCTTTGATTACCTTCATTTATTTTCCAACTTTCATATGCACCTGAGGCAACTGAACAGACCATAGCTTGGGTTAGGCAGGCCATAGTCTTCAAAGTGACAACTTTTCTTTAGAGAAGTCTTTTGATGTCTTCACTGCTGCTTTGATAGATGTTGATTATGGTTCCCAGTAAAATGAATTCCTTGACAATTTCAGTCTTTTCTCCATTTGTCATGATGATGCTTATTGATCTTGGGGCGAGCATTTTGCTGTTGTTGTTTTCTGTTGGGATGTACTCTATACTGAAGGCTGAAGTCAGTAAAGGTTCTGTGCTTTCGGTAAGCCAGGTTGTATCTGCATATCCCAGACTTATTAAAAATTATTGTATTATATTGTTTGCACAATTTGGCGGGTGCATATCATAGACTTTTAATGAGTCTTCCTCCAATCCTGATGCTACGTTCTTCAGATAGTCTAGCTTCTCAGATATTTGAATCTAAAACCATATGGAATGAGTGGTGACAGGATATAGCCCTGAAACTTACACATTTTAAATACAGAAATTTTCTTTATTCTGTTTGAACAACCGCCAAAATCTTGGTCTATGTACAGGTTCTGCATGAGCACAGTTAAGTACTGTAGAATTCTCATTCTTTATAGTGCTGTCTGTAACTCCTCGGGTTCCACTCTCAGTCAAATGCCTTTGAATAGCAACTAAAACACACGTAAACATCCTTCTGATGTTTTCTACCTTTAGTCAAGATCTATCTGATGTCACTGAATGATCCCTCATTCTACATCCTCTTCTGAATTCTACTTGAATTTCTGGCAATTCCCTATCTGTGTATCGCTCCAGTTGTTTTTGAGTTCTTCTAAACAAGATATTACTTGCATGTGATATTAATGATACTGTTTGATAATGTCTGTGTTCTGTTGGATCACCTTTCTTTGGAATGTAAAAACTATTAAGACTGTTGTGTACCATATAGTCAGAATGGACCCATAACTGACCCTCTGGTGGGTTTTCAGAAGCAATTAATTGCACAGGAGGAGACTGTTCATCTTCCCCGGAACAGCTGGTGCCTTCGGGATTGTAGCACAGCTTCTTGCCGCTAGGCCACCAGAGCTCCATCAGCTACCAGTTATTGAGCTCTGATTGTTAACACGGATCTTTATACATACAATGCCTTATTCTCACACCAAACTGGCAGTGGGTCTTCTTATTCTGCTGTGGTGTATGAGGCTTATAAGCTGTCTATCTGGTCTTAAGTGGTAGAGCTGAGGTTTGACCCCATGTGTGTCTGGCTCTCTGGTTTCACAGATTCTAACTGGATGGCTTAGAGAACTGGAGTCCTGTATCACAATTAGTGTTGTTATTGTTGTTGGGAGGTGACTTCAACAATAATTCATGTGGCCCTAAGTCTGCACCTTGCCCTGTCTGGCACCATCGTCACCATCTCTGCCAATGTCAAGTCCAACTCTCATTGTCATTTAGTCAGAACCGATTCATTGCTGGCCCCCATTGGGTGTTTAAGGTTATAAGTCAGATGGGAGGAGATATCCCGTCTTTCTTCTATGAAGCTGCTGGTGGGTTTGAACTGTCAGAGAAGTGTGATCTCTGAATTACATTCACAGTTCCCTATGAACGAAGCCACCAGGGGTCCCTGTCTCATTTAAAAGTATGTGAAAATCATGGGAATGTCACTTACCAACATTTGCCATTTTGCGAGTACCCCAATATCATATTGATATAACTATACTCTCACATTGAGTTGGCGGCTGTATCGACTGAGTCATGCATCTCATTTCTGATAATACTGTTTTGGATTTACACAGTGTTCCTGAGAATATCAAATTTGATCACGTCTGATAGCTTTAGAACATCTCTGTGAAATGGCAACTATTTTTTACTCTAATTTACCAAAAGAGAATTTGGATATTTGAAAGATTGTAGAATAGCAATGGAAAGAATTAGGAGAGAGAAATTTACCATTAGAGAGCTTTCCTTTTAAGATAGGCTGACCATGAATGGATGGAAATCCAAAGTCTCTGTAAACTTTCCTGAAAATCAATTTAAAATTAAAAAAAAAAGATAGGCTGACCAATTTGAGGAAGAGATTCGTTTCCTCAAGTAAATCTTACAATAATATAGTTGACTTCCAAAGATCACCTCTCAAAAGAATAAGCATATTTTTGTGTCTGTTAATAGACTCAGGACCGGAAGTCCACATCTTTGGAAAGAGAAGGATGGTGGAGAATAACATTAACAGTATGTATCTTTTCAGTCTTTCCAGTTCAGATTATTCCTGCTTCCATTAGTATTTTAATCAACCTTACCTCTTAAGTCAGTTACTCAGCTGAAAGAAAGTAGTTGTGGTTCAGATGAACATGGACTTCATTGCATATCATATATATATAGATAGATAGAGATAGATAGATGATAGACAGATAGATAGATATAGTCTCAGCATGTGAGTGAGGAATGGGTTTTAAATTTTTAATGCAGTGAAAGAAAGCTTGGAAAAGAAAGAATTCTTGCAACCCACCTGCTTTTCATAAATCTAGGTACATTCTTCCTAATTTATGATCTTGCTAAGATTACACCAGGAAGAAATGCATTCACTATGGGATATGTTTTCACTTTCATTTCTACCTTCCTTTGATGAAGTAGTACCTGTGAGAACTTGCCTGTATCATCAGTGTGTGAAAAAGCAAAATGACCCAGAGTAAAAAAATGACCAGAAGAACCCTGCCTTCGCCTAGATTTCAGAAGTGTGTTCTGGCAGCACCCTACAACACAGAGCCCCAGAGGGTCAGAGGCTTCTTGGAATTGAGCTCATTTTAAAGGCATGATGGGGCTCAGTGGAAAGTTGACCACTAATGACTCAATGTTCAGGTCTGCTCATTTAGCCGCAGTGTGAATATAGTTTGAAAGTTGTTGAGGACTGTGAAGTCGGAACCGACCCATGGCTGACCCTCCCACTCGTTTTCAGAGACAGTAAATCACACAGGTAGAGATTGTCCATCCTTCCTGCATGGACCAGCTGGTGGATTCAGACCGCGTGCCTTCAGGATTGCAGCACAGCTAATTAGACTTCATGCTTTACCATTTTATCACGACTCTCATGTTATTATCCTATAGCTTCTCTTGGCCAAGTGGTTGTTCTCCAGATTTCTTGACACAACTTCGTGAGGACGTCCAGGGCAGCATCTGTTAGCTGAAATATGTCAGTTGGTATACCATCTATTCCTGGGGCCTTATTTTTTGCTATTTCTTTCAAAGTAGCTTGAACTTCTTCCTTCATCACCATAGGCTCTTGCTCATATGTTCTTTCATTAAATTCTTCTGTGTCTGCTAATTCCTTTCGATACAATGACTCAGTATATTCTTTCCATCTTCTTTTGATACCTCCTGGATCATTAACTACTCTGCCTAAAGCATCCTTGATTATAGCAAATTGAGGTTTGAATTTGTTCTTCAGTTCCTTGAGCTTAAGAAATGCTGAGCAAGTTCGACCCTTTTGGTTTTCTGACTCCAACTCCTTGCACATTTCATTGTAATATTTTACTTTGTCATCCCGTGCTGCCTTTTGAAATCTGTTCAGCTCTTTAGTATCTTGAATTCTTCCTTGTGCTTTGGCTTCTCTGGACTCCAGTGCAATATTCAGAGTTTCTTCTGACATCCATTTTGGTCTTTTCTTCCTCTTCTGTCTTTGTAATGGGCTGCTCCTTGGAGGCAAGGATTCGGAGGCTTCGTCTGACATACTTTGGTCATGTTGTAAGGAGGGACAGGTCCTTGGAGAGGGACATCATGCTTGGGAGGGTTGAGGGCAGGCCCAGGAGGGGAAGGCCCACTGGGAGATGGATTGATTCAGTGACTGGGGTTATTGGGATGAGTGTATCGGAGACAATGAGATTGGCACAGGACGGAGCAGAGTTTAGAGCTGTTGTACATAGTGTTGCTATGAGTCGCAAGTGACTTGACGGCACATAATAACAACAACAACATAGCTTCTCACTTGGTAAGAAGGAAATACGTAAGCAGAAAATCCTTATTAGAACTCCCATGTGATGACCATGTTGTTGTTGTTGCTGTCGGGTGCTGTGGGATCAACTAAAACTCCTAACAGATCTAAACATTGCCCTGTCCTGCCCCACCCTGACCACCTCTGACGTGCTCGAGTCCATTGTTAGCCACTGTGTCGCTCTGTCATGTTGAGGGTCTTCTTCTCTCTGACTCTCCACCTTTCCAGGCATGCTGTTGCTCTCCAAGGACTGTCCCCTCCTGACAAACATAGCCAGTCTGTGAGACGAACTTTCACCCTCCTTGCCTCTAAGGAGGCCCCCGGTTCCACGTCCTCCCAGGCAGACTTCTTTGTTCTTTTGAACGTCCATCAGGTGTTTAGTACACTTCTCCAGCACTGGAATTCAAAATGTCTTGTAGAAGGAGTAGAACAGCACCGGGGGGTCATGTTCTTTTACTCTCGGCTCTAACACTTCCTCCACAGCGCTGGTGACATACAGCACAGATAGGATTACTGAAGAACAGGTGTTGATTCACTTGTATGAAAGAACTCAAATAGGAAGCTGTAGAGAGATCAGGGTTTAATAGAGGCTACCAGAGGTGGCAAGGAGAGGGGAAGGGAAGTTGCTGTTCAGGAAGTAGTGAGTTTCTGTTTATGGTGACGGAAATGTGACAGTAGATTTTGGTGATGGTCGCACAACGTGACTGATGCACTTGGTGACACTGGATTGTATATGTATAAGATGCTGAATTGCTAATGTTGTGCTCTTTATATTTTAGAAGCATGACAATTAAGAATATACTCAGTTACTTGTTTGGTTTTTTTTTTTCAGTTACTTGTTAGAGAAAATAACCAAACAAAAACACAGCTGTCCTCAGGAGCCTTAGTTGAGGCCAAAAATTGATAGTCGATATGATACTAAGCTTATGGAGATTTGATGAGAGAGATCATAATTAATTTCATGAGTCAATTTGTAATTAATGATGTAAAACAATGTATATGAATGATTGAAAAGAATTTTAAAAAATGAAGAAATATAGGCTAAGTTTAAGTATATTCTTGAAGTTTAACTTTTTCAAAAGGTTAAGTTCAACTGTGGCCATAATCCATTTGCTGATAATGGAGCAATAGCTTTAGGAGAAGAAGTAATGATTCTCTTAAAGTATCATTCGGTCAAGAATGTCAGTTACATCTGATAGAATTTAATGACATTTTAGGATGAAGCGAAATTATAATTCTCCCTTAAAACAGTTATTTAGGTGAGCTCTGGTGGCCTAGTGGCAAGAAGTTGCACTGCAATCTCAGAGGTGCACGGTTTGAATCCACCAGATGCTCTGCTGGAGAAGAGGGAAGAATCTCCTCCTGCACCAGTCAGATCTGATTTGACGGTACACACACAAAAGAATGAAATAAAATAAAATTAAAAAAACAAAAATTATTTAAAGGCTCTTACAGATCTATATAATGATTTTAACTGTGTCCCCTCTCCACAGAATACTCCTAAACCTGGCACTTACCACTTGAGAACTTTTATTGAAGAATCCCTGTTAAACCCAATACCAGCAACCTACAATTTTAAAAATGAAGGAAGGAGAAAACCACCTCTTGTGCACAGAAACAACCCAGTCATGACTGACCTTCCCCACTACATCCCTCCTAACTCCATGGATTTGCTAAAGAAGCAAATGGCCACTTATTCATTTAAAGACAAGCCACGGGCCAGTCCCAGCACACTGGTTTTCAGAGATCAGGTAAATGCCTTCCTGAGCAGATTAGTGTCTGGGAGAAAATGATTATGCTAAGAGCCCCCTAGCGAAATAAATATTCTATATACATGGAGTATATTGATTGACCCCAGAGGAAACTGTAAAGCCTTGAGAATGCCTTATTTCCTATTACAGATTTTTGATGAGTCTTCCTCCAATCCTGATGCTATTGCCTTGTAAATAATTTCAGCAATATTTTGCCCTATGAGATGATTTCTCCTTGGGGAAAATGTTCCTGCTTAATCATAACAGGGTCCAAATCCTTGGATTCTTGGGGTCTAGGGAGCCACAGAACCGGTCTGTGGTTGCATCATACTTCTTCTTGTCAGGTGCTGTCAAATTGAGTACGACTCCTAGCGACCCTACGAACAACAAAGCTGAACCCGTCCACTCCTGTGCCGTCCTCATCTCTGACATGCTCGAGTCCACTGGTGCCTTCACTGTGTCAGTCCGTCTCGTTGATGGTCTTCCTCTCTTCCGCTGACCCTCCATCTTTCCAAGCATGAGGTCCCTTTCCAGGGATCACCTTCTCCTAGCAACATGCCCAGAGTATGAGACGAAGCTTCACCATCCTTGCCTTTAAGTAGCACTCTGATAGTCTGGTACCAGTCCATGGCATATGTACTCTTCTCTCACACCACCACCCAAGCCCATCGAGTGTTCTGTCATCCTTATTCATTGTCCAGCTCGCAGATGCTTAGCAAGTGATTGAAAACCATGGCCAAGGGCAGGGGCACCTCAGTCTTGAAACTGACATCATTGCTCTTCAGTAGGGTCTCTTAAAGAGATGATATGGTTTAAAATATCTTTTGTTGTTACTGCGAGCAAACTCTGCCTCTTGCTGAGTTATTAGAATATGCTTCTAACTATATTTTTTTTTTAAAAAAAATCTTGTAGAAATGAGCACTAGGCACCAAGAATGTGAAATTCTACTCTCTAGCACTGTCATGCTTACAGCTGTGCACTAGGTTCTCTGGATGCCAGGTCTTCCTGATCAGGAGATATTTATGTAGGAATACAAGCACTCTATCACAGTGCTGAGATAGATAGGGTAGCCAGGAAATGCCTGGAGAGAGTGGTATTGTTAAGTGCCATTGAGCTGCCTGCTACCCTAGGTACAATAGCTCTGAACTCGGCTCTATCCTGTGCCAGTCTCACCGACTCTGACACACCTCCCCCCATTACTCCAGTTACTGTGTCAATCCATCTCATCTAGGGTCTTCCTCTCCTGTGCTGCCCCTCCACCCTTCCAAGCACGATGTCTTTCTCTAAAGTCTGCTCTTTCCTGGCCACATACTCAAAATATGTGAAACAGAGCTTCAAAATCCTTGCCTCCAAGGAGCAGCTTGGCTTCACAAACTCTAAGACTTGTTTTTTCTCTTGGCAGTCCATCGTATGTTCAGTTCTCTTCTCCAGCCACACAACTCAGAGGCATCAATTCTTCTGTCATACTTAGTCATGGTCCAGCTTTCTGATTCATAGGACGTAATTGCAAAGACCATAGCCTGAATCAGGTGCACCTTAGTGTCTAGGCTGACATCATTGCTCTTTAGCACTTTGGTGACATAGGTCAGGTACACCTTAGTATTTAAATTTATATCTTTGCTCTTTAGTACCTAGAGAGGTCTTTAACAGGAGGTTCTCCTACTGTAAAATGCCTTTTGATTTCTTGATTGCTGCTAACAGTGAGTGTTGATTGTGGAGCTAAGTAAAATAAAATAGTTAAAAATTGATATCATAAGTAAATTTAGAAAAATCAAGCTAATAGCATAGTCTTACTGAAAACTGTGTGTCATGAAAACAAATCTACCGATCTGTGATGCTGAATGCCTACTTTTTTTTTTTGCCTTGAAAGATACTTAAGCAATTATTAACGGTGGTTTCCATTTGAAACAAGATTAAGGTTGCAGACTGACTTAAGCAATTTTAAAAAAAAAACTTCGTATAACTTTTTCCCCCCCTTGAGATCTTGTCCATTTATTTTTTAAAGTGGGTATGGAATGGTTACAGTTTTGTATAACTTTTGTATGTTTTCATACTTTTTCAGCCATGCTTAGTTGTAAAGAAATCTGTTTATTACAACCAATGTTTGTCTTTAAAACATGTATTAATTATTTATTCATCAAGGCAAGCTATTCCCTTTGGTCATTTGGTAGCCCCTTTGGTCATTTTTCATAGTTTCAGAATGTATGTCGATGACAACTTTTTTTTTTCATGTGCACCTTAAGCTTTATTTAAACTGATACCATTGCTCCTTAAATCTTGGAAGAGGTTCTCAACAGCAGATATTCCCAATGCAACATGTCTTCTGATTTCTTTTTTTAAATTTATTATTAATTTCAGTGAAAATTTACAGAGACTTTGGATTTCCATTCATTCATTGTTGCACTTTTCTCCCCTCCCAGTCCTCCCCACTAGTACACTACCCTCTTGGGAAAGTAAAAGAAAAATTCTTTCATTGTTTTACAATCCCTCCCCCCAGGTCCACTCCACTATACAGCCTTTGCTCTGGACTCTTGGGTGACAACTTTTATGGAACTCAAGCCATAGAAATTCTTGGGATTCCCAAATCACTTCACACTCTGAGAGGTGCTGGCTTTCCTCATCTCCAAATGCTTCATGGAATCATAGCTTCTACAGAAATCTGCATAAGCCTTCTTCCTGGTCTCATCTACAACAAATGTACCGAGTGCTGCAATCCCAGGGATATAAAGAACGTTCCAGTGATAGGAGTCCCAGATGCTTAGCCAGAAGACATCACATCTGAGCTTCACCCACACGCTGGAAGGATGGGGGTCCTTCGCCACCTGTGGTGACACGCCAGCGTTTTGCTTTTAATGGTTCTCTTTCTTGCCATTTTCCATTTAAAAAAATGCTCCTATTTACTTCCCAGGTGGGGAGGGTTTCAAGTGAAAATGATAATGAAACCACTGAAGTAAGAGTTGCTGGAAGCCCCTGTGTTTTACAGCATTGCTAGGAAGGAAAGCCCACCCAGCCAACGTGATAATGCCTCCATTTCTCTCTATTTTGTTTTTCAAACGAGGTAGCCAGACTGGTGAGCTGGGCACTATTATTTAGGGAATGAATATTTTTAAAGTTCATTTTAAAATGTGTCCAAAAGACATTCTTAAACAGTTGACTGAGGTTTGGACGGAAGCACGGGCCTCACTGATATTCATCAGCTGTGTTAATTGTGCTGTTGTTGTTGTGTACCTTCCCGTGGGAAATGATCCATCGCTGACCCTCCAGCAGGTTTTCAGGAGCTGAAAATCCCATCGTAGGGGACTGCTCATTTTCTCCTGTGGAGCGGCTCTTGGATGAACCACGTACCTTTGTGCTTGCAGCACAGCGTCTTACCAGTAGGCCCCCAGAGCCGTCTTGTGGCAGTGTCTCAGAAGACATGCACCTTTGCAAAAGGCTTGTGGAAAGATAGCTGCTTAAAGGCTTTTCAGCTGAGTGCCTCCTGCAGCATCAGCAGGAAAGGAGACACCTGTGTCAGAGGAGGGCAGGCGAGGGATCCAGTAATTACGAGTGGTTGAGAGCGAGCCTTCAAGTCAAGCACCCTGCAGCCTTCAGCCAGTCATCGCGCCTTTCCCGAGGACCACCCCCCTCCCAAACCCCAGTGTTCTTCCATGTGTGCAGCAGTACTGTATGTGGTCTGTTCTGGAATTTTTTTAAAAACCCAAGATTCTCACTTCTGGACCTATTGGCAACATCATGATGAATGATGAAGAGACTGAGATTGTTGACAGCTTCCGTTTGCTTGGCTCTACAGTCAACTCTCATGGTACCAGCAGCCAGGAAATTAAAAGACTAAAGCTGTCAGAGACTTCTGCAAAGTACTGAAGAGCCACGATGTCGGTCTGGAGACTAAGGTGTGCCTGATCCAGGCCATGGTCTTTGCAATCACTTGCTATTCATCAGACAGCTGGACAATGACTAGGGATGATAGGAGAGTTGAAGCCTTTGAGCTTTGGTGCTGGAGAAGAGTATTGAATATACCATGGACTGCTAGGAGAACAAACAAGTTGAAGGCAAGGATTCTGAAGATCTGTCTGACATACTTTGGATATGTTGCAAGGCGGATCAGTCCTTAGAGAGGGATGTCATGCTTGAGAGGGTGGAGGAAGACCCTCAATGAGATAGACTGATTCAGTCACTGGGGTAATGGGGAAGAGCACGTCGGAGACAATAAGATTGGCACAGGACAGAGCAAGGTTTAGGGCTGTTGTACATAGGATTGCTATGAGTCGCAGGCCACTTGACAGCACATAACAGCAACAATCTGGTTATGTTGTTAATGTGAACCAACTCCTAGCTGACTCTCCAGCAGGTTTGGAGGTTGCAAATTGCATTAGAGGAGACTGTCCCCCTCTTTACTGGGGAGTAACTGGTGAGTAAAAGCGACCTTTGGGAACCTGTGCCTGGCACCTCCTCACCACCTCTGGAGCTCATCCTTGGATACTCACGTTAAATTCAAAATTACCAGTGACCCTGAATGCTTCCTGTGTTCTGTAACCAGAACGGAAAGCTGGCTTTGCTGAGGTGAGTGTCTCTTACCCTTGGAACTTAATTTCAGTGCTGAGATAACAGGAAAATGCATTTAAATGAGAAGAATTATCTGAGAGCTAATTTCTCCTGTGGGTTTTGAGGCTTTGCTTCTCAGAGAGCAACTGCAGGGCAGAGGGGTGAAAATCTGGAGGGTTTGTGCCAAGTAGGTGGGAATGAGAATGAAGTCTGGGAGTTGGATACACAGAGAATTTTTTTTTCTGGTTTAGCAGAGGGATTAGGAGTTTTTAGTTCCTTTGGAATTGGTGTAAATTACGTGATGTTTTTAAAATTCCAAACAATGCCCTTGGCGTCATCGGGCAAACTGCTGCTTTTTGAAAGTCTTGTGTTTTCTACTTCTCAAGCCATCAGGAAGGTGGAGCAGTGAGTCGGAGAACACAGGGACTTCCCAAAGAGAGGAGGAGGTGCGGGGTGGAGTTTCTGCCAGTGCGGCCTCTGCACTCACTTTAGGATTATTCTGATAAGGCTCTAAGCAAGCCAAAAAGCTTGTTCTTGTAACCCCTTAGTTAGGGAGCTCTGATGGTCTAGCGGGTAAGGCATTGCGCTGCAAATCCAAAGGCAGGTGATTCGAATTCACCAGCTGCCTCGGGCAAGAAGAAAGTTGAGCAGTCTCCTCCCAGGCTGTTTACCGCCTCTGCAAACTCACTCACTGAAGGGTGAGTTCAGCCTGGATGGCGGTGAGTTATACATTCATTCTGTGTTGTACTGGGTGATTCAAACCCACCAGCTGTTCCAGAAGAAAAAGGTGGCAGTCTCCTCCAGTGAAGATTTAGAGCCTTGGACACCCGGTGAAGGGCATTATTGTGGTGGTGGTGGTGGTGGTGGTGGTGGAGGAGGTGGAGGTGGAGGTGGAGGTGGTGGTGGTGGGGGGGGGGTTACTGCTGGGTCTGAAGAGACCCGTAGCTGACCCTCCAGTGGAGTCAGTTAATTAATTGGGAGGCCTCTGACCCATCTTTCTCCTGTGGAGCAGCTGGTGGATTTGAACCGTGTGCTTTCAGGACTGCAGCTCAGCTTCTTAACACTATGCCACCATAGCTCCCTGTGTAAAGGCCTAATAAGCCATAATTGACTCACCAGCAGTTTATTTGGTCACCAAGGGGCTCTGCTGGCATGGTGCCTTGAACGTTGTGTGGTTTACCAAAAGGCTTGCAGTTCTCATTCACCCCATAGACTCTGTGAGGGAGAAGACTGAGACATGTCTTCCCATAAATATTTACAGGCTTGGAGACCCCAGGGAAGGCTGCCGCGCTCGGCAGTTGTTTGGTTTTTAATTTTTATCAGTACTTGGCCCTGGCCATTGGCCTCTGAAGGTCCACGGCCCTGAAAACCTGAGGGAATCCCGTTCCTTTGCACTCTTGAGGTTGTTATGATTTGGAACCGGTTTAATGGCATCTAACACGCACATTTATGGTTTAGAGTCTCCACATACTGTCACAGCAGCCCAGAGAAGAGCTTAATAAGTAGGCATGGTTTTTAAATTTTTTTTTCAAAACAGTGTTAATTACATATTTTAAAAATTTAATCAGACATTTTTATGGCTCCAAGCTATTGCAAAGTCGGACAGTGAATAAAGATGATAGAAGAATCGATGCCCTTGAGTTGTGTTGTTGAGGAGGAGGACTGACCATCCCACGGCCACCGAAGAACAACCTGCTTCGGAGAAAGTGCAGCCGGGGTGCTCCTCAGGGCTAGGAGGGGGAGACTGGGTCTCACATACTCTGAGCATGTTGTCAGGAGGGGGGCAGTCTCTGGAAAAAAGACACGGTGCTGGGGAAGGGCTCGCGTGGGGTAAGATTGGGAGGATGGTGCAGGGTAGGGCAGGGTTCAGACCCGTGGTTCATAAGCAGATGGGTCTTGGTGACCTGAATGGCACCTCACAACAGTCAGCCTAGAAAGAGTCTTGGCGATACGGTGGTTAAAGCATTTGACCGCTAGCCAGAGGATCTGCAGTACCAGTCCTCCAGGCATGCCACGTGGGAAAGATGCAACAGCCGGCTTTATGTAAGGTTGCCTTGGAAACCCCGCGGTCAGGCCTGCTGCGTCGATGACTTTGAACTGTCCCCTTGGATGTTTCTAGTTGAAACATTGACAACCAGAGTCAGCTGTTGGTATGGTCATGTCTGGATTCTCTGCAGAACTGGGAAGCATATATGGGAAATAGAAAACACAGTGACTATATCTTATCCATCAGCCTGTGCACAGAAAATCCACCCAGATGGACTGCGACAAGTCCAATGAGGAGTGACCATTTCTAAGTGGAGAAGTGGACTAGTCAAGACATTTCAGAGAAAAGTTAGCCCTCTCGGCTGTATCAAACGGCTTAGAATGGCCAGCACCAAGGAAAGTAGGACAGATAGAGATGCTGTGGTAACCAGTACTCCTTTCCAGGCTTGTGCCGTTGTCTAAGTGTTTTTCCATGAGCATTTTGTTACAGAAATCTAAAATGGGTTACTGAGTGGAGAGGCGGAAGCAGCTGCTCTGAGGCGGCCCCCACCCCAACCCCAGTTACTCTCTCTCTGAATGAGGAGACAGGGAAGCATTATATGAACAGTTTCAAGTAGAAGGTAAATTTCTCATAAGTAACCATGGTGAAAGTCAAGATACAGAAAACTAAGAAGTTGTCAGCTCCCCTGGAAGCCCCCCGTGAAAGTTTCTGTTCTATTCAGCCATGTTTCCGTACTATTTGTTATGTCAAATAACCCACCAAGAGGGCCACAGGTGCCCTAGGACAATGGGTTTATTCCAGCATAAGATTTGTGCTTTCTGTTGTCCTGTGTCCACAAGAAGGTGCCTCTGTCATCAGTTGTTGTATATCAACATGTGAAGCACCACTGCCAGGTGAAATGTAAGAACCGAACTTCCATGTGGCGGATAATGCCGGGATCTGGACATCTCATTTCTAACCATGGCTGTAATCGGCTTAAAAATCTCAAGAGAGGAGAAAGATCTGGCAGGAACCTGAGAACACAGGGTAGAGATGGACAAAGTCCAATGATAGTTCATTTTATAAAACATAACGCATGGGAAGGATTGTATGAAACATGTATGTTAAATAGGGTAAATAAAAGACAATATATACAAACTTTGTAACCAAATCAATATAACAATTAAAAAAAAATTCAGGAGAATTGGGGAGGAAATTGTTTACTCTCAGAAGACCCCCTTGGATCTTACAGTACAGCTGCTTTCCATGAGCTCCTGCAACAATTTAGATGGTTTCTCTTTCTCATTCCTATGATAGATCATCTCCTCTGCCTGAACATGTGTACATACCAGTTCTGATGCGCTCCAGTCTCTGCACTAAATCCAGAAGCCCAGGGACAGTGGAGCCACCAGGCATCTTCCTAGTTTAGCATAACTAGATGGTTGCTGGGAAGGCTCTTTGTTCTCAGCCTCCTCTTTTGGGATCTTACCTTTGCTAAAGAGTCACCCAGATCTCACCACGTTTACTGTCTTTGGATCATCCAGTTGGGCTTACTCTTGCCCCTAAGTGTTCCATCTCCCCTTTGGCGCTGATGTTTGTGGTTATGCACCATCAAGTCAGAATTGACTCGTAGCTGACCCTCCAGTAGGTTTTCAGAGGCAATAAATCACACAGAGATCATCCACTTTTCTTTTATGGGGCAGCTGATAGATTTGAACCACATGCCTTTTGGTTGGCAGCACAAGACCTTAGCACTAAGCGACCAGAGCTCCCTTGGCACTAATACCAGTGTTTTTATTCTAGAATGTTTATGCGTGGATTTTTCTCTCTGGCCACTCAAAGAAAGGGCCTTTCCTACCATTGTATTCTACCCCCTACCCCCCAGGGATGCTCTACCCACAGGGCAGGCTCAGGCAGTGGTACGTGAACTGATTTGTTAAATCCAGTATTTTAAAATAGGATCCATTCTACAGCAGTTTTTCTCTGTAGCATCACAAGAATATGGTGATTAAATTTGATCATGAAGAGTGAAAAAAAAAGAGTAGATACTGAATATTTAGAAACTCTACTTATGGAAAAGCCTTTTTTTCTATCAAAATAGAGACTAAATCATAGATTGCATGATCCTAAGAGGGAGGGCTGGTGGTGCAGTGATTTAAGTACTCCATTGTTAACATAGTGGTTGGCAGTTTGAACTCGCCCAACAGTTCTTCAAAAGACCTGTAGACCTGCTCCTGTGGAAATGGCAGCCTAGGGACAAAGAATGGTGGGTGAACAACACATAGAAAACAGGAGCTTTGGATCTGTGTTAACCTATTTTTGGTGTCCTTGTCTGTTGTGTGTAGACCATTCAGCTTGCACCTGGACAGTACGAGATTATTCCTCCTCTGGTTCCCAAGAGTCCTGCCAGGTAATCATGCACTTACTAATTTACGTTTGATCGCTTAACGCCTTTTTACTAATGTACCCTGATGTTTGATCGCTTAATGCCTTTTTACTAACATAGCCTAACAGCCACTGTCAATGGCTCTGTGAGTCCAGAGGCCAAGCCCCTCTGGTGGTTTGTAAATCCCAGCAGCTCAGAGGGAGAAAGACAGGCGTTCTCCTCCGGTAAAATGTATAACCTCAGAGAACAAGTGGAGGGTCAAAAGTGAGTTGGATGGAGTATGCCATCATGTCCAGCTTAATAATTTAATATTTCATGAAAGACTAAATGTTAAGACCCTCTTTTTAACCACAGATGTAGACGATTATATCTTAGTTTTCCTTTCTTGCTTTTTTAAATTTAGGGATGTTGTATTTCATTCTACAGTCCCAAGATTCTCATCAGGCTGGTTCATTCCTGTGAGTATCATTAACTTGTAGATCATTAACTCGTGATGTATTTAATGTTTAAAGTGCATAGTGTATTTAATGTTTAGAATACATAGTGACTCTTTTTGAGATATCTAGATTAACATGCCATTCACTACGGTAGATAAATAACTAGTGCACTTGATTGAAAGTCTGAAGACTGGAGGGATTCCAAGTTCAATGACGGGTGAGTTGTTGTCATGTGCTGTTGACGACATGCAACACATACAAACGACAGATCTGAACGGTGTCTTGTGACGTCCTCATGATCTCCACCATGTTCAGGCCCATTGCTAAGTTCTCTTTGTCAGTCTGTCTTGTAGAAGGTCTTCCTCTCTTTCTCTGACCCTCCATCTTTCCTGGCATGATGTCTTCCAAGGACAAGTGACAACATGTCCAGAGTGTCTTCAGGTCTCACAGCAGACAGCCAGCTCTTCAGTCCCCAGTTTCCCATCCTCCTCCTCTGACTGACTCTTCCCCCCATCACGTTCATCACTGCCTGGTACATGCAAAAATTTATACCTCATGCTTTTATCTTTGTCCGCCAGCAGAAGATGCATTTACTTAAGGCAGGAACTTTGTTTGCCTTACATATATAGCACCTAGAAGAGTGGCGGGGACATAGTATTTGTCAAATTAGTTGATTAATTAATAAGGGCATCAGATATTCAATCAATTAGCAACAACAAGTGAAATGTCTGTGCTGTCTTTCCTTTCAAAATGCAAACATATTTTTGTTTCTAAAAATTTCCAAATACAGCTACATGAGTTATGATCACATGAATTCTTTATAGATGAGTAACTGGGGATGGTTGATTAACTTGGAAAAAATTAATTTCGATTCTCACTTCATACCACATATTAAAATAAATTCCACATTGGTGAAAGAATGAACTTCAAGTCCAAAAGAAAATATATGAACATATATCTGGGCATAATTAAAAAGAAGAGATGTTAGATTTGATTACATAGCATTTAAAGGTTTTTGTATGTCGGAAAAAAACAAGCCAGTTGACTGTGCTTGAATTGGATCTGACTCATAGGTGAGCCTCCAGCCAGTTTTCAGAGGCTGTAAACTGTATGGAAGGAAATAGCCCACCTTTCTCCTGTGGAACTGGTGGATTTGTACTGTCTGCCTTTGGGTTCACAACACAACTCCTTATCCACTATGCCACCACAGCACAACTGTAAACAAAGGTAATAGCCAAATGAGTGAAAAATTAGGAAAAGTACAATGATCTATAGGGAAACTATAAACTGAAGAACAAAACTCAGGAATCCATTAAATGTGAAAAAAAGGTTTGGTCTTAAAAGCATTCAAGTAGAAGGAGCTGGAAGGCTTAGTGGAAGCTTGCTGTTACCATGTTCCCAAAGGTGTATGAGGATCAATCACTGGAGCTTATGAATGTGACTTCACATGATAAAGACTTCGCAGGTTAAGGACCTTGTGAGGTGGGGCAGTGACAAGAGCCAGATGCAGTCACCCAGGTGTTCTGGGGAAAGAAAGTGAGGCATCGGGAGATGTAACACACAGACAAGCAGAAGGCAGTGCAGGTGCAGGGCAGAACTTGGAGGGATGCAGCCACAAGCCGAGAAATGCTGGCAGCCCTCACGAGCTGCCTGAGACAAAAGATGGATTCTCACTTAGCGAGAGCATCGTCCCGCTGACACCTTGATTGCAGCCCAGTAACTGAGGAAGGAAACTTGTGTTGTTTTTTTAAATTTTTTATTTAA